CTCAGATTGGTGTTTGATAAAACCTGAGGTGAGACATGAGGACAGGAACCCCTTTCCAGGCAAGAACAAACCAAGAATGAGGAAATCCCTCTTGGTGAAACAAGTTTTACAATCCCAACCTGCTGCTGGTTTCTGGTGGCTCCAGAACTGAGGCAGCTGTGCTGGGCAATGACAGCTTTTGATGCAAATGGAAATTCTGGGGGAGAATTCAACTCGGTGTGTTTCCAAAGGGATGCCTGGAGAGCCTCTACAGAATATCTATATTTATTTCTTACTTTCATTACTTACTTGCTGACAACCTTCTCTTGCCATGGCTCATCTGTTCTCAGGAGGTCCCTGGCCCAGGCCTTGACACTTTGTCAGGTGCTGCTGGTTCTTGCCCAGCTGTCCAGGGGTTTCATGGCATTCCACACTGGTTTGGGTTGGAAGTTCATCCCATTCCACCCTTGCCATGGGCTGGACACCTTCCACTATTCCCAGGCCTTGTTCAGTCTGGCCTTGGACACTTCCAGGGATCCAGGGGCAGCCACAGCTGCTCTGGGCAATGATTGAAAAATTAAGACTCTTCTATAAAAATTCTGAATTGTTTGCTGTTAAAGGACTCTAAAAAACTGCCTACAATTACGAAATGTTATAAAAATTCTTCAGTGAAATCTGTACTCAGCAACTGTTCCGAATTACCAATGGAATTTCTCGTGGAAGTAGCAGTGCTCTCACTAGTGAGGACAACACGACAGTCCTCAAGTAACTTCAGGAAAACGCTCACCCCACAAGACTCATTAGAACAACCTCCAAGGACCACAAGCAACTGAGAGGAGGGACTGGGTATTTTAAGCCAAGTTTCCTAAAGAACTGAGGCTGTGCAGGGCAATTACAATCCTGAGAGGAAACCTTAGGAGGCAGCTTCAGATTCCATAACACCATGAACTTCATAAATCCATCTCCACAGAAACAATCCTGAAATAAAAACTTCATTTTCTTTATCACCCAGAGAAACCTTTACTTAAAATTTAAAAATTATACAAAGAATTGCAGATGTCAATCCAGAGCCTAACTCCTCCACACAAACCTATGCAAAATAATTGAGCATTAAATGCTGCTTTCCAAAGAGGATGCAAATAAAATCAGGGCTCACTGAATTAAGTAAAAAATGTGTTTGAAGTGGGTCCTTGGCAAACACACACCTCTTCCCGTCAGATTTCTCAGCTCTGGCACTTCAGAGCTGCAGGTGAAGATGATAAACTGGATTTTCACAAGGAGGAAGAAAAATTCCCTGCCAAGTGCAATCTATTCCAGTCTTTCACAAGGACAGCACAAAGCACTGAATGCTGACTGATGGGTTCCACTGGGATGGAAAGATCATGCAGGAGGAAAACAACTCAGGGAGATGGAACTCAGCCTCTCCTACAGCTGAAACAACCCCAGCTCACAGGGATGAAAAATAAATGAGTGACTGCTAATCTACAGGATGACAGAAGTGTGCTTGAATTGCACAAATACAGGATAAATATAATTCAAATAGGACACAGCTTTAGGGTTCTTGACACAGCAGGCTTAGGTGAGGAACAAATCTAAGGAATACATGGAAAAACATTTCTACTTTAAACCACACAACTTGTGCAATGAACCTTCTGTTGTGTGTTACACAAATGGCTTTGAAATGGTTTTTTTTGGCAGAAGTGAACAAAACTAGAAAATGTAAAAGCTTTTACATTTTACACTGGGAAATCACAATGTCCTGAGGCAGCTCCCAAACCAGCCATGACAGACGCCATAGAGAAAGTATTTCCTTGATTTTAGCTAATATATCACAGACACAGCACCTCTGCATGAAGAATATCAAGTCCTGAAGAACTAAGCTCACTTGGTTTTTCATTGTTAAGCTCTTCCAGAGCTTGGATCTTCCAAAAGATCCCCATTCTTTCAGTATTCAACCTACCTGGCTGCCACAGAGCAGATCAGTCAAGCTCTGTGTACCTGCTGTATAAAAACCAGCAAATCCTACCATTTTTTAGCTCTCACCATTTTTAAGTGAGTAGTCATTAAAACTTAAACACTTGCTCATTGCTTTAGAATCCATGGAATTGATTGATAATTAATGGTTCTGGCTATCCATAACTACTGACTGACTTCTGTGCTAAATGCAGGGTGCTCCAAGCTCATTAATTAGTAAGAGCTTCTTTAAATTCAGCAAGAAAACTCTTATACCACCAAACTGCTGAGATTGTATCAGTGTGAGAAGACAATGCTGGGTAACTCCTTGCTTAGTTTACATAGAGACATCAACCATTTTTTTATTCTGATTTATTGAACTTTATACCAGGAGAGGATGCTTGTTTATCTTCCAGTGACTGTGACCCAACTGCAGAACAATGTGGGCACCAGGGATGCCCAGCATTTGGGAAAACAGATGTTGCCCAAATTTGTTGTACAGCCTGCCAAAAAATTACTGGCACCTAGTAAGGTGGGTGTGGGAGAAGTGTAGAATGAGTAAAGCTGCATAAACAAACATATTTATTTTTTAAAATAATTTGTAGAAGTGACTTGATACCCACTGACTGAAGGAAGTTGCAAAGGAACTGACAGCTCCTTCCTGGAGCTAAAGGAAGTCCTGAAGGGCTGGAAGCTGAAGCTTGCACTATCAAATATCTCAGGTAAAACAGGCTAATAAAACAATCAATTTATAGAACTTGAGCTCTGAATTTTGTATTATTTTACATCTTAGAACAAGGCTGCTTTTCCAAAAGCTGTGATTATGTGCTCAATTACACACCATAGATTTAATGCAAGAATGGAGAGGAAGGGATCATAAGTGCCCCTTCCACTCTAACACAAATATTCCCAGCACAGCTGTTTCCCAAGAATCAGCAAGAAGAATTTGCTACCTCTGATGTGATTTTTCCAGCATCTGCAAGGGAGGAGCCATTTGTGATGACCTGGAGCTGACCAAAGCCCAGCCTCAGTTCTCAAGAAGCACAAGCAAGGCCTGGGATTAGCTGTTACCCTCTGGGGCAGCCAGGCTCAGCGTGGAATATCAGCAGAGGAATGCCAGGATTTCAGATCTGAAGGGACATCAGTGAAATTCTGAGTCATCTCCCCTGAGAGAGGCACAGGGGACAGCCCTGGGTGCAGTGGTTTGGCTGTCACACTCCCAGGATTCCCCTGCACACAGATGTTTGTGTGCAGAACTGTTTCTGGATGGATGAATTTGCACATCTGTTCATACAGATACTGCACATGCAAACATGTATTACATATCCACTATTTGTATAATCCTATTACACATGCAAACAAGTCTCAGAGGAAAGAAAACTAATTAGCATTCCCATATTAATCCTATTGGGCATTGCAAGTATTTCTTAAGAGCCAGGATGGGACCACAGCAGTCTGACTCCACAACAAAGTGTTCCTATAAAATATGACCTCTCTGCCAGAGGGAAGCAAAAAAACAACTCAGGCTGCAAAGTGCAGCTTTTTCTCTCCGTTGCATTATTTATTCTCTCCACAAAGGCGTATTTGGGTTTTTCTCATATCACCACAAAACACACTACAGAAAATCCACTCCTACCTCATGCTATAAAAGACATATATTAAATTCAGATAAGCTAAAAAAAAAATTAAAATGACATAATATAAATTTTACAGGTACTTATGAAACCACTAGGAGTTTAGTAAACAAAATTGTTTGTTCCCCAAAAAATGGTGATTTAGAAGACTGAAAAAACAGCTCAATTTCATCTTCAACTTCTTCAAACAACTTCCATGCAATTAGTTAATTAGTGTAGCAGTACCTATTTCTGAGGGCTCACCTCTGGTTTTGATGGAGGTGTGTCTTTTAAATCAGGTAGCATTTTCCCTTCTGTGGATTTCCAAGATTTCCAATCTCTCAATGAGGCTGAGAGGTGCAGGACAGCAATTTTAACCACCCAGGCCATGGAGTGGGTTGGGCTTTAAAGTTCCTTCCAACCCAAACCATTCTGTGGTTCCATGCTAAAACAAAACCACCAAGACCCCTCTCTCCCAGAGGAGGTTTGTAGATAATTTTTTCCAGCTTTGCTGTATGTTCTCATCTCAGCCTGCAAACATGGATGAATACCAGAATAGCTACAAGATCTCATTAATGAAAAAATAGCTGGAAAGATGAATTTGCAATCTTGGTATTTCCTCTTGAAAAAATGAGATAAATTAGGTGCACTGCCTGACTGTACTTTCAATGAACTCTTCAAATCAACACTTGCTTACCTGGAAACTTCTGCAATCTTAAAGGTTAACTTTAACAAAAGTGTTGGAAGAGTTTAATTAGAACAAGATGTCTTGAACATACTAGGTGTGAGTTCCATGTGCTTGAGGAATACATCCATGACATGATGGAATTTTGGAGATGGATACAAAGGAGAAATTGGCACTTTTGCTCAGAGGTAAGCAGTACATCTCATTCATGTTCACCAGGCCATGTTCTGCTTTGCTCAGTCCATAATACACACACGAAAATTAAGATCAATAAAAAGAAAATATCAGTTTCCAATCCTGCTCTTTAAACTTGCCCAGATTTCTCCTGGCTTTATAAATACATGCAACATGGAATAGTTCTGAGTAAAAGAGCTGCCTTTGGAAAGATGCGGAGAAAGAGGAGATCTCTTCACAGATCTTCTAAGGCAAAGTTCACTCATGTCACCATGCCAAACCAACTCACCATCAGCATGCTTCACAGCACATGCACAACTATAGGGGAAGTCTCAGACACAAGAAGGGAAAGATTTTGTGGGCCCCCAGCCACATTATGGCCCACAGCCCCAGCACATGGTGACTAACACTGCTGTGTGGAGTTTGCTTTCCCAGAGAAAGCACTTTTTGTTTGAATAACTGGTTGCTGATACAATGAGTCACTCAACTACCTCAAGCAGCAGCTCCAGCACTCTAAAAGGACTGGCTGGGAACTGCTGAGTACAGAATGTGTGCTTGTTTAGGAACAACCTGCCTTAAATAAACCACTGACTCACCTTGTCACGCAAATGATGCTCTGCAGCCTCAATATTCAAAGGATCGTCAAAATTCAAAAGATCCTGGAAAAGAAAGAGAGAACATTGAGGGGCTCCCACTCACTGCATCACCAGGAGCCCAAAGCCTTCAGGAACAAGATAATGGAACAAAGCAAACAGGGCAGCAAGGGCAGTGCCATTTCATCATTGCCTCACTGCCTCACTGGTGCCTCTGCCAAAGGTAAATGCAAATGAGTCATTTGGTAATTGGAAACCAAATCACAGGACAATTAAATGATAACAGCATCAGGGCATTTAAGCCCTTCTGGTGTGGTTCTTATGACACTTCTATCTGGAAGTGAAAGCATTTCTATTGGAAAACTGAATTTTGGAGGAACAGCCAAACTTGCATGAGGCACAATTCCTGTTGATTTTTGTTAGAGGGCAAAGTAAACCCTGAAAAAAACTTCTGCAAATAGTGTGCTGATAAAGAAGGAGTTTCCTTAATTCCGCCTCCACAGAAAATCAATTCCACTCTCTCTTTGAAGAATCCATGTGACCTGGAGTCTGACAGGGAAGTTTCAGTGCTCTGGGAAAAACAAGAGCCTAGAGGAAAAGGAGTGCAAAGATCCTGAGAGCTAAGGACAAGGGGAGTCAGGGAGCAGAAATAGTCCTAACAAACCTCAGGCCTCCCAGTTTAATCTCAAATATTAACTTGGAAGTAGAAAGGGTCTAGGGTTAAAAACAATGGAGAAGAGTAATCATCATTAAAAATAACACAATCACAAGGCTCCTGTTCTGTCTGCAGCCCAGATCTTTCCCCAGTCTAAGGTCAGCCTGTGTGAAGAGTGAAAAACCACTGTCCCACAATGTGAAAGGCTCCTGGCAGTCCCCAGCTCATCTTCAAGCAGCAAAGCCCATGTTTCACTCTAATCAGGACACCAACCCACCTCATTTTCACTCACTTTCTTCAATAAACCCCCCAATGAATCAGCCAGATCAGTGGAATCCCATGCCAGCTTTTCAAAGCCTAATTATTGACAAGAGGCTGGGTTGAGGGGAATCCAGGAGGGAGGCAGAGCTCTCACCAGCCAGGACAAATCCCTGTGGTCCCCTAAGCAGGACCACCCCTCTCTGCAGCTCTTTCCCAATATTTTTATTTTAAGCAGCTCTGCCCCTGAGGATTTTGATCCTTCCACTTACTTGGCATGCACAGGGAGACTGACTGCAAAATGCAATTCACTTTTGCTGGAAAAGCAAATGCTCTCCAAACTCTTACATCAATTTACCAAAGAAGTGTTGAAAAAAAAAACAACTAAGACTTTGGATGCCAGGAAATCCAAGTTTCCTTCTACACTCTGGAGTGCTGGGTAGCCACCACCTTAATGCTGCTCTTTGCTTTCTCCTGACCCTCCCACCCAGCAGCAATGGCTGAGGACAGGAATCCCTAAAAAAAGGTAACTTTTGTAAAGACTTAGCTTCTCTCCACTTTTAGGGCAAAAGCAGCTGTTGCATCCTGCCCTCTCCTCCATTTTCAAGGTGCACCTGCAATTACAGGTTCCTTGCTCCCAAAAATCTTTAAATAAAAGGGGAAGAAATGGGATCCCTGAATAAAATCACATAAATTCTGTGACAAGTTAGGTTTTATGCTAACAAGGAATGAGACTGCAGGACAGTCACTAATTCCTAAATAGGATTTTTTAAAAAGACTAACACCAACACAGTTCTTTCTCAGAGCAGTATGTATTTCTATTTCCTGCAAATCAGCAGGAAGAGTTTCATACTGTGTGGAAGAGCCCAAATAATTTGTTATCAAAATATCCCCTAATATTTCTAACCAAAGCAAAATCCACATACAAAAAGGTGGCATTTCAGACAGTCTGGATGAGTTCCACAAACAAAAGCACAATTTGATTTCATACTTGTCTAACACCCACTGAAGCCAAGGGAAATAATGACCTAAAATTTTACAGGCAACACACAAGGTTGTCATTAGGTGATACTGAAACTAAACCAGGCAGGAAAAAGAAAAGGGAACATGCAAAGTATTCCTTTACTTACAGTAAATAAAGAGTTTAACCCCCAGACGATATCCTGCAAAGAAAAACACAGTTAGACAGGCATTTCAGGAGTTTTGAACAAGTTCACAAACTTTATTTTTCTATTAATCCATGAAATAACTGGGAAAAAAAATCTAGATTATGAGTAATGTTTTACTAATTTAAATCAAAATGTTGAAAAAGCTTTCCCATTTCATGGCCACTTGATATTTAGAAGTCACCAAAACCAAATACTGCATATTCAAACAGAAGTATTGTGTGTATTCCTGTTGCTCCTCCATTCAAGGAGAGGAGTGATTCCTTAGGATATGCCACCAGCTGAAAACTGCACTGCTTATTTTAAAGGCTGGGTAGTGAAAATTATTTTTAACAATAGATTGCTGAATTAAAGAGGGGTCAAACTTGAAACTGTCGAAATATCAGAGAAAAGAGGGTGAGCTGTAGTAGGAGTACAGAGAAATACTATTCTTACATAAGCATATGTCTCAAGTCATTCCACAGCTAAAATGCAAATTTACAATAAAGATAAAGCCTCAAAGTACCAAACTTCCTATGCACAGCAAAGAACTTCAATAAATGAGTGTATTTGAGCTTGCTTCCTGTTCTGGGCCCCGTGCTGAGAGTGTGGACCACAGAAATCCATATCCCTTAAGGACACTGTCCAATTATGCCCTAATGAACAAGACACGATGTCAGCATTCCGCAGCCAACAGCCTCTCATGATCCAATTTCCCTCTGCTCTTGCACAAACAACCCACTCACTTTATCCGCTTTTAAAACATCAAGCTGCCCAGCAGGGATGGCAATGTCAGCCCTTCCAGCCTCAGCACCTTCTCAAGTGTGGCAAAGACAGCAAGTTTCCAATGTGGCAGCACCAACACATAAACTGCACAAAAAGGGTGGCCCAGACATTTAATTCCAGTTATCTGTAAATTTTAAGACTCTAGTGCTAAGCAGTCATCCTCACTCCTAAAGAACAATTCTGCCAGTTCCCTGGCAAGCAGGAGAAATTGAACATTTCAATTTTAATTACTTTATTATTCAGTTATTTCAAAGAAGGGATAGAAATCATCGTTCCACACTTTAAGCTTCTTGCTTGTTCAACTGCTGGAACAGACACCAGGCACAGCAGAGCTCAGGAGAGCATGGTATTAAGAACACCTGTGTTAATTCTTGGGATAAATTATTAGTACAATGCAGTGATGTGCCAAAGTCACAGATTAAAGGAAGATTTGTTTGCATGGAGAGCAGCAAAAGGCAGGAAGGTCTCAATTTTCACTTGATTCTCCCACATCCAGGGATCAGAGGGTGCTCAGCAGTTCTGCGCAACCCCTCTGTGCCCAAAGGTCAGGATCCCATTCCACTGCTGCCCTCCAAGGCTGTGTTGTCCTTCAGGGAGGCAGAGTTGCAGGAAAAAATGACATTTTCAGAAGCTGCCTTCTACCTACACTATGGAACAGCAGGCTGCAGTTGCAGAATGTGCTGCAGAACCACAACACTGCATTCAAACCATCCTGAACAGGTATAAGGTCACCTGAGCACTCTGAGGGCTGGCCATTTCTAACTCCTGAATGCCAAACCTACATTCCCAGGGTTACAAACTCTCCACAGCTGTTCAAACACCTGCATGTCTGAGAAGGAACAAGCCAGGAGCAAGTCAGTGCCTTCCAAAATCCTCAGGAGCTCATCTTCTCCTTACTCTGAGCAGTGCTGACCCCCTGCTCTGACAGAAGCTCCCCAGACACCAGCAGAGCTCCCTGCACACAAAACTCCTTGTCCAATACAAGCTCAAATACTTCACACAAATAAATGCTGCAGCTCAAAAAGGAGAGGTGATATAATAGTTTTCCATTATATAATTAATTGTTCCGGAATTCTTATTTTCTGAACCCTGGTTTTAATGCTTTGGGGTGCTTGACTCATTTGGACTGGTCTTACAGAGTTCTATTAAAAAACAAAGAAGGAAATACCAAATAAAAAACCCAACACAAACTTTTGTACAGGCACAAGTTGTCAAAATGCTGTACATCTCCACTGCCATTCTAGACACGAAAAAGCATAACAATTATTATTATTACTGAATAATTTACTTGTGATAGTCTTAATGCCATTTTTGATGTTTCCATCTATTCAAGCTTTATGATTTGCTGGATTCATTTTATACCCTTGCATGGCTCCATAAGAAATAATGCTAAATTACTACCAGATGACAATTGCTTTTTGTAATGAGCTTGAGGCTAGCCTGGATTTAAATCTAGGATATTGAGAAAGGGAAGTGGGATGGAACAGATGAGCAAAAGTGAAGCAAGTATGTGGTATTTGAAAAACTCAACACTGTTGAACTGCAGAAATAATCACCCTGCACTGCTGACTTCAGCAGAGCTGTTGGCTGCATGCAGATAAGCAGCGGCCTAGGTGCTTGCTTTGGGTTTTCTCGAGGAACTAAAAGGATGTGCAAGCCACTGAAGATCTTGTCAGATTTAACAGCTCAGAAACTTCTGCCCCCCTTCAGTGTAATAAAGCATCAGGCCTGGGTACAAATATTTACTGAATTTGTGGCTTAAATAGCCAGAAAATGATGTTAAGCCCATGTGCAGGAGTTTTTAAAGATGATTTTCACAGGGACGAGTATGGCAGGTGGCCCTGAAAATGTTAATGGTGCACACCTTGACAGTGGTGCACTTCAGTAAGACCCTACTTGTACAAAATCAGACATCTGCACCTGACAAAGCTGCTTCCTTTACAAAGCTGCTTTTCTGAGACTTCTGCTCTGGGTTTAACATCAAAGTTACAGAGGACAAGGGCACCACTGCTGAGGGGCAGCCACAGAGCAAAGCCGAGAGCCTCTGCTATTGTACCAAACCTGCTTTTTGTGATGGACCTGCAGCCTGGGCTGCCAAATTCCTCGAGCTGCTTTATCTGGCTCCTGCTCCAGCCTGCCCAGACTGTCCCTGTGTGGTGCTCCAGAGGTTTGCCATCAGCTCAGATGTCACCTGTGGGTCAGAGTCCAAGGCAGGTCTTGGATATGCAAATGGCTTTAGCTCACATCTATTCTGTTGGCTCAGAGGAGGCAATGATGGTATCTGAAATCAGGAACTGGGGCTCTCAGGCACAGCAGCACCTGGTTAAATCCACAGTAGGTGAGGGGAATACAGAATAATGAGAGAAGCACACTCTGCTCCATGGCACTGCCACCATCCTGGGCTGGAGCATGGGGAAGTCAACACAAGCAAGTCAGAAGATCAACAGACTGCTGTAAACACTCCTTTATAATTGTCCCTTTTCATTCTGCACTATTTTTGTGCTGCATCTGAGTGAAAAGTTACACTAAACCCCTGCCCACAGATTTGTTTACAGCATGCCAAACGAGGAGAAAAAACCTGCTGCTGCAGCAGTGTCTGAAGTTCAAGAGCAGTAACTCAAAATCCTCAATGCAGCTTTTGAAACAGCCTCTCCTGAGGCCAGGGAGTCTCAAAGCTTTGCATTTCTAGGAGGTTCTAACTCAGTCATTGATCATGCCAAGTGACAGCTCTCAGAGCCACTTCACAAAAGCAATGCCCCTGAAACCATGCTACAGACAAGGGGTTCAGAAAGACAAACACAAGCACTTCTGAAGAGAGAGAAAACATGGAAACTGTAAATTAAGATTAAATTAACATTTTCCAGTTTACCTCAATGTTTTTGAGGTATGGAATTAATTAAGATTAAATTAATATTTTCCTTTAACAGGCAAAGTATATTTAATACATTAATTTAAGAAGAGTGCAGACCAGAAAAAAGCACCTAACTTCCAATCAAAGAAATTCCCTTAAGAGATCCAAGAAGCATTTCTGATCTAACAGACTGAACAAAACAAAGCTCATTGCTAAACCATTCTATATAAACAAACAACTTGATCCAGTCAGATGAACAAAAGGAGCAGCAGTCATTTATACAAACGTCTGAATCAATTTTTTTTTGCTTGTTTTAAAAAAGGCTGAAAATGGCCAAATCCTGGGGCAGCTCTCTGCTGTCATGTCTGCCTATTCACCACCTCAAGGTGGTTTTCCTCTTCCCTTCCCTTCTTCCACAATCTGTTAAAAACAAGCCCACCTTCATCTCTTCACTGCAGCCTAAAAAAACAAGCACATACATGCCACACCACGAAATAATCACTGGTCCTGTAGATCAAAAAAAAAAAAAAAATGTTTTCCTTCCAGAGATGGAGGCACTTTTTTAGCTTATGAAAATACTTCTCTCCTAAACTGTCTCCTCCCAAAAAAAATCTTTTCTATTTCGTCTCCTGCTCCTCTCTAATCTTGCCAAAGTTGAAAAACATTGTTTCCACATAGAATAAGGTGATAAAGTGAATGCCACCTTTCTTCAGCCACCCACAAAAGCCACCTCAGTTGTCATGTGTCTGTCATCCCTGCCTGTGCTTCCCACCCAAACACAACAGCAGCTCCCCACAGGGCTTTGAGTAACTCAAAAGGCATAAACTGCTCCAGTTAGCAAGCACAAAACAAGGAGGAAGGCTGGCAAACTATTTCTTTTGTACTTAAATATAGGAGGGGAAAGAAAACGGGACCAATTCCAGCCTGTTCGTGTCCCAGACCAAGGCAGCTGTGAAGTGCCAAGCATGCAGAGCACTCCTCTCCCATCCCTCACTTTGTCACTGACTCCTTGACATTTGTCCCCGTGGTTACTGCAGGGCAAGTGGATAATCCTGTGGAAATTGTTCCCTGGGGAATTCTCTGATAGCTTCTTCATGAACTACATCACAGTGATTAGAACACTGAAGCCATCACCCTCTGGAGACCAGTGTGTTCAGTGCATTAAAGCTGACACTGATTGAATATTCAGAAATCAACAGTTTGGGGAGAATAAGTAGTTTAATTACAATTACTGAAGTATCTCAGCTCTCCTCACTCACATGCTCATAAGAGCAGCTACTGTACCTAAACCAAAAATTTGATTTTGCCAGAGAACATTAAAGACAAAAAAATTAAAATTTTGCAAGTCTTTTTGGAAGCAAAAGCTATTAGAAGACACTGAGTTGTATATTTGCACCAGCCTGGGCATATATGGAGGAGAAAAATAAATCACATCTTACAAAACTGAGAAAGCAAATTTATAATGAAGTTAAAATACAACACAATATATCCTTGGAAAAATATTTCCTGAAGCTTATTTTAAGAAAAAAAAAGAATGTCAAATCTCCACAGAAGATTGTCTTCAGCAGTTTATACCTTCTCTTTTCAAATACTGGGTCTGAAGTTTTTGTCTGGGGCTTATTCAATTTTTAGAGGTGAGGAAGACACATAAAAAGACCAACTCCAAAAGAGAATTTGAATAAATCAATAGCTGCACAATGTTATCATAATGCTGAGAAAAACAGCCTGAGCAACAAGAATTAATGTAACATAAAGCATACAGGTTTCTTTTTTCCCTTCATCCTCAAGACAGTGACAGTTACTTTATTGTCTGTTTCAAACACTTCTCTACACTAATTACAGATGATTTTGACAGCAAACCATCTATTTTCCTTAAGATGATGGGTGAAATTTTGTACTCTCAGAACTCCTCAGGTTGATGCTTAAACATTGAGGTAAACTGGAAAAATGAAGTCAGGACCCTCTGATTTATTTCTCCAAGAGATGAGTTTGGCATTTGGATGATTCCAAATGAAGTCATTCCACTGCCTGAAGACAAGGGCAGAACCAGGGAACCAAACAGGATGAAGAGCTGCCATTTAGAATTAAAGCACTAATTAAATAAGCAAGGCTCCTAAGGATCAACTCCAAGTAGCAATAGTTTACTGGAAATGAGTCTTAATTCCTTTTAGATCAGGTAATCTAATAGCACAGACAGATATTTATTAACCTAAGATCTGGAGTTATGGGAGAGAAATTCCTGAAAAAACAGTGGTTTCCTTTAGGTGGGCATGAAAAGCTGTCTGCAGATCTGCAGTTTAAGACTTACCTGGATGTTTCCTGCTCCTGGCTCTCCTGAGAGCAATAAGACAAAAACGACAAAACCCAGCACTTGGAACTATCTCAGTGAAAAACTGAAGTGCACATACACCTAACAAACATGGAAAGCCTCCAGAAAACAGCCCAGCTAGCTGAGACCAGCTGGATCTCTGTGAGAACACAGCTAGAAAAAGAAGAAAAAAGGACAACTATTCCCTGGGAACATCCATCATACATTTTTAAACACTGGTTTTAATGTTCATATGCTCAGCCCTCCACAGAGTTGCCCAAGTGTGCTTTGATTATATTTCAGGTCCATCAATCAGCCACTGATTTATGAACCCATTTCCAGTTGCAGTGAGTTAGAGGTAACTGCAAAAGGAACCTGACTTTTAGAACCAGTCAGGCATTTAAAATACAGATCCACTTGTTCAGTTCTTAAAATCCATCACCTGATATGTTTTCAGAGCAAAATGAAAACAAGCATTTAGGACAAAGCTGAGGAAAATTAAGAACTATCTGAGCTAGGCAGATGATAACCCTGGCAAATAAGGTATATATTGAGGTTTAACAGGAGCTACTAAAGCACTTTGGATTTTGAAATTGAAATTACTGAAGGGTACAAAGCAGAGTAGCAGAGTAACAGCAACAGTGTGAAGTCATATGAGGTATTTAAAAGCTGCTACTTCCAGTGACATTAAAAAAACCTGAGAACAAAATGGAATTGAAGCCATCTATTTGCTTTCTGCCTGGGAAACTTTCATTTTGACCATCACACCTAAAAACAGGAGAAAACCAAGTTCAGACACTCTGAGCAGGGCCCAAAGTAACTGCAGCAGTTTCCAGCTTTGTGAATAAGCTGCTTTAGAGAGGAAAGTATGCAGTAAAATGATGCAGAATGTGACAGAATGGAGACTGAAAGGTAAATAAGCTTCTGTTGCTAACTCATGTTTAGCTACAAAGGAGCAGAAGGAACACAAAGATCAGCCAGAAAGCACTGCAGCAGTGTTCACACAATGCACAGCCTGGAAATCAACCACTAGCAGAAATTATCCAAGGGTTTGGGATTCTGGAGTGTTTCTATTAATAAAAGGAAGTGATTTTAAAAGTGCATATATAGACAGGCTGGCAGGCTAATGTTTTAAACCTGTTTCAGGGTACGAGCCCAACTCTGCTCAGAACCTGATTTCAAAAAAGCATCTAATGCAGGAATTCAGAAATAGAACTTTAGTGCCTTCACTCACACACAGGCTGCTCTTCACAGTGGTCCATGGAAACATGTTCCCAAGCACAAAGGGAAAAAAGATAAAGCTCAACACTTGGTAACCTGAAGAGAATTCAATCATGGATGAGATGACACCAAGCGCAAAAAAATGCCGGGAAACAAAACTTGAGTTAGGTCTTCCCCCCTCTGAAGAATCCTCCACACTGCTAAAAATACATTTTATCAGGTAAGTTTTCCAGACAATCTAGCAGATTTTCATTTTTATTTCAGAATGTTTCTTCATGTTTCTACCCATTTGATACTAAAAAAAAAAATATTGAAAAGATCACAGCAGTTTATTTTGAAGGATTTTTCATATAGCTCTGCTGTCACCACAACAATTCAAAAATGAGACACAATCAAAAATCTGGAACAGTTTTTGTGGCAGAAGGACATGCCCACTCCCAGTTTAATTCTTTAGGAGTAGTTCAGAGTGCTTTATTGGGCAGGTCTGCATGCTATTCCTCCAGAAAACCAGGCTGACTTCATGTTATTGACAAATTAAATACTGACTTTCAAGTCCATAACAGGCCAAGACTGGATTCCTGACCAAAGTGCTTCTGTGCAAATTCTCACTGTTCCCCTTGTGGTGATGAAAAGCTGTAAAAAGTGAGCTCACAACTGTGGTGCTTCAGTGTTAAAAAATTTAAAAATCCAAGGAGGACATGTGATTTTTCTCTTTTTGAAGTTAAGCTTCTAATTCCTTTTCTGTTGCTGAATCTTTCATTTAAACAACCACAGAAAAACCTCCTGTCTTTTGGGCTTCTTGTCCACTTGTACTATTTTTTTAATGGCTGAAGCTTAGAACTTTGTCTGAATGAATCCAAGGACAGGAACAGAACTAGTAATTTAACTAGTTACCTGGTTAAATTACTCGGTGCCTTGATTTAACCTGAGATGAAAAACAGAAACACACAAGGCAAAACAAAATCACACCAACGGATGAAAAAATTATAGGGAAAGACTGCTTAAGAAAATCCACAAAATAAAACACTCATTTTACGTCTAGAAAGTCACATGCTCACCTCAGGAGACATTTTACAGATGAAGAAAGTCACAGATCTCATTCATAGTGCCAAAGAACAAACCAAGAATCAGATAAAGGTCATTTTCAATTTGCTTTTTGAAAGAGACAAACACCTGATGTGTACCCTTTATCCACCTAATGCTGCTAAAGCTCTGCAAGAAACAATTCTGGCAGCATTCCTGGGAACAGCAACAGGAAGATAAATGCCCTGCTCAGTGCTCTGCACTGATTTTGTCAGGAGTATCAATCCCATGGAAATTACCAGGGTTATGGATTGCTGTTCACAGGATGCTCTTGTCTTTGCTGCCTGGGTGAAAACCAACACACCTTACAGAGTGTGGGTTCTAGAATCACACCAGCCTCCTAAACCTTGGATCTGAGAAGGCTGTGTGCAGCCACACCAGAACTCCCAACATTCCTACAATCAGCACTGTACCTGTTCCACTGCTGCCACCAACACTTGCTGAAAGACAAAAACCTCACCTCAAAAACCTGTTCTTGAGCAAACCACATGAGCTGTTTCTTTCCAAGGCCAGGAAAGGATTTTAAAAGATGTATTTAGTTTGATGGACTTTTCCAAAAGGAAACAGTACCTTTAAGGTTCTAGTTGGGGCCCAGCCAGTGCCATCAATTGAGTGTTCTCTCAACAAACTGGAAAAAAAAGACACACAGATTATACAGAGCAACTTCTGCTTCAACTGCCTTTGTCAGAAACCTGCTCAGAAAACATTAGGAAGTAATTGCAAGATCTGATTCTTGCACTATTTATACCCAGGTAATGGAATTTTAAACCCCAGGAGTTGGGATGTCTACCTAAAATTACCTTCTACACAGTGTCATTACAGAACTCCCCATCTGAGCTCAGCCTCTGTCAAAACATCTGAATTATTTTCCTCCAGCAGCACAAGTGTGACAGAAATGCTTGTGACAGGCTCAACACTGAACCCTTTATTTATTCCCCGATACATCATAGAATATGTTAATCCCTAGTGAAGAGACAGCCTTGCAGGATGACCCATCTCTCACCAAAACTGGCATAAACCAATCCAAAAAAGGGTGTTTTGGGGAGGGATATCTAATCAGCAAAGAGAGGATCATCATCCTCTATTGTGTGAAAGGACTTCAGCTTCCTACAGGTAAAAGATAAGAAAGTGAGAGAGTTTTAGTTTGTCTGCTCTGGAGGTAAAACTTATAAATTTTTATATAGCTATAGACATATATTTAGAGAAATATCTATAGATGGATATAGATAAATATATAGATATCAATATACAGATTATAAAATATAATTTTAATTTTAATATGAATACCAATATATAAAATATAGAATTTAATATAGAATTTCCTATATGCACACATCCAGTACAGATGAACCATATTACTGTACATATTAAGCCCAGTGAAGCTGCTGACCTATTTGCAAGTAGAAACCATTGAGGTGTTCAGGCATTTCTGGACCTTTCAGACACAAACCTCAGCAGTTATGAGAAGGAGATATACTGGGGATCAGAGCACAATTGAGATATAAGCTGAAGTCTTGCTCAGAAAAGTAATAATCTGAATGAAAAAAACTCTATAAAAACTCCTTGAAGCATTATTTTGGAATCACACCTTCCTCTGTAAGGAGTCGTCTAAAATAACTCACACAGCAAAGCACAAAAATTCACCACCAGCTGCAGCTTCTGCTACTGAAATGACAGGGTTAAAGTGAAATAGTCTTAAACTATAAGGTTCTAGCAATTTCCAGGCTGACAGGTGTTAAGTAATTTTTAAATTACAGTAGATGACTAGACCATACAGCTTATGTAGTTATCTAATGAACATGGCAAGTTTATATCCAAGGAAATTCAAATCCTTGTTCAGTGCAGAGATCCTAGGAACAGGATGATCGATCTGGACAAGCCCATTCCACCTTAAGTGTCTGTTCATCTTATTTCTGTGCCTTTCAAAAGATAAAATATGCCATTACCACTTGTGCAACATTCAAAATAATATCTTGTGGCTGCAGTTTGTCTCCATACGACAAAAGCAAAAGCAAAAAAAAGCTTGCTTTTTGTCTGTTCCTTATCAAACTGCATGCAGTGCTTCCATTTGCCTCTCCACACACCCACTGAGAAATTCCAAGTGAGAGGGAAGTTAACACACCAAATAAAATCATAAAAAATATTCAGTGACAGAGCACCTGAGCATGAGCTAAGCCTCATGGACAGCCCTGCAGCTTCCAGGCCTCAGAGCTCTCCTGGCACAGCTCCAGCTGGAACACTACAGCCAGGATTGAGGAGACACCTGCACCTCTCAGAGCACTCTGGCAGGAAAGCAGGGAAGCACAGAAGTGTCCCTTTGGCATGACACTCCTTATTTGCTGATAGAATTGGTTTTAGAGCAGCACCCTTTTTCTTCCAAAGATTGGGAATGACCTTTAAGCCCCTCAACAGAATATTTTCCCAGATCTAGGGAGACCTCCCAGCTATGATTACAAATCATACATCAATCTGTGTTCCTATGGGCAGACTGAAAACCATTGCTTTTCAACTTTCAGTAACCAAAACAGCCCCTGATGTGACCAGTCAGCTGCTCAGATTTCATTTCAACAAATATCTCTCATTCTATAACTCCTGAATGCTTTGAGGATTTTTTTTCTTTTTAAATACACACATCCTAAAGAGATCTTTTAAAAAACATCCCCTGAAGTGGGAACTGCATGATTCCAGTAAGTGTAAAACCTTCTGAAACTCCAGCTGACCCAATGTGCAGCTTAAGTGACTACAATTTACTGTAAGGAGAAGATCAGTCTGCAGAAACCTCAATTTTTTCTATCCACATGTGCACCACAGGTGATATCCAGTACGGGCCAGACTTAAATAAGATCTGTCATTAATAATATGGCCCAGGGTAATACAGCACAGAAAAACACAATTTTTCCTGCCCAGAACTGTTACACTTGACCACAAGTTTAACTATTTAGAATGTTTTAATCCAGGGATGATTATCAAACCAACACATACCACAGCAGGAGGTATGTTGGGGGGGGAAAGCACTGATGATTTTCTGCTTTTAAAAATAACTGAAGCTATTTTAATGCAAAGACTCTTGTGTAAGTTGATTGCAGATGCTATACATAGAATGCATTCTCTGACAGGCATAAAGCAATTAAGTTATTTTAGTTTTTCCATCTAATGCCAGACATTTCCAAGGCTGAATATGTTGAGGAATCTGACAATCTAAACTGTTTCAGTGCAGATACTGAAAGAACACCTCCACTTCATTAGAATGATGATGCTCCAAACACCACATTCCTCTCTTTATAATTAAAACCATTTCAGGAGATGGAAAAGTGTGGCTGCCCCATCCCTGGAAGTGCTCCAGGCCAGGCTGGATGGGGCTTGCAGAAACCTGGGCTATTGGAAGGTGTCCCTGCCCAAGGCAGGGGGTGGATGCAGAGGAGTTTTAAGGTCCCTTCCAAGCCCAACCACTCTGGGATTTTATGAATGTGAACCTCAGAAGATGCTGTGCTACAGCTGGAGCTTCAGCTTTGGTTTGGTGCCTGGTATTTGTTCCTCCCTGGTTCAAACACCTCACCTGTTCATTCCTTTACCTGCACTCAGAACATTTAAGTTTCTTAATTCTGATGAGCATAACCTGCATAGGGAGGGCAATAAAAAACTTAATTTTCACCAGGACTTTCAACACAGCACTAAAATGACTTCTCCATCTAGAGGAAAAAATCAGCTTCTCTTTAAGCACTGATTTGCTACACATGGTGACAACCAGGCTGGATTTTCATAACAGCTTTCCATCTCACTTATGGGCTTTGCTTCTGCTTCATCTGCCTTTTCTTCTGTGTGCCAATAACTTGAAAAATGACAGGCAGGCTTCTCACTGCTGTTTCTGTTTGGTTTCTGGCCAATTTCACCATCAGGTATTGAGGATGAAATTGCAAAGTTTCACAGATTCATTTGGAAAAGGAAACATTTACTATCAAGGAAAACCATCCAGCAAGAGAAGCCTCTCTAGCAAGGTAAAGCTTTCAGGCTTCATATCCTGACCCCAACCCTGCTCTGTTATAACTGGCACATGTGTCTGATCAGTGGATATGAAATATTATAATTAACAAATGGCAAACAAAGAATAATTACTGTCTAAGTATAAGGAACACTTTTTCCCTTCCTTTTTGAAACAAAAAGAATTTTCAAGCTCTTAACACACAGGGGCATTAAAAGGTAAAGCCTCAAAGCCTCCCTCAGGGCCTGAGGATGATTCATTTATGAGGGAGGGAAGATAAAACCCAACTACATTTTGTTTAGGCTAGAGTTCACATTTTTACCCCATTTTTTGTTCTACAAGTAGAATAAAACTCTACGTCTGAACCTGAAAAGCCAGGCTCTCCATGATCCCTACAGCACAGCAAAGATGAGACTTTGAGTAGATTTTTATGCTCCTAAAAGTTACATGCAGAATCAGCACAAAAAAAATACTGTCATGACAGGTAGATCCAATATTTTATCAAACAGAGAAACCTCCAAGGTTAAAAACCTCCAACTGAACGTTGTTCCTACCTTAGGCAGATTTCTCCTGTCTCTGTAATGTTTGGGTGCCAGATTCTTGTCAAACATTTTACCTTTGGAGGCTGCCAGGAGACAAAACAAATTACTGTGTTATCCTTTAAGATAAAACCCTGTTATAACTCATAAGACAGAAAAAGGCAAATATATTTGATATTCACAGCATGGGTTTGTATGTTTAGGGCAATGATGCATTATCTACAAGAGCCAAAACAGACTTCTCGCCCTTTTAGCTTTTCTAAACTCTGCATAAAAACCAGGCTGGTATGAGGCTTTTCCTTAGAAAAAATAACTTTTAAGAAAGCCAAGAAAATTTACTCCTTCAGGGAAAACAAAACACTCATTCAGTTTCTTCATACTTAATTATTAAGAAAATAATTTGAACAAAAAAAGAACTTCACCAAGGTTTGTCCAAATCAGAGATTTGTTAAAAACCAGCAGATGATGCAAAGATAACAAATAAATAATTAATAATAAGTAAATAACTTATTTTAAATACAGACCCTCCTGTTCACAACTGACCAGAAATGCATCAGCAGTGAATCTGAGGCACTAAAATGAAAAGCCACAGGCAAGATCATCAAACTTCTGAATGTCATAGTGGTGTGAAATACAGATTTTTAAAGTACAGTCTCCTTTGCTCTAGTTTTGTGAAGTAAATGAAGAGTGGCACATAAGAATTTCAGTAGCTTAGCAACAGCACGTTGCTCCATCCCTGCTCTCCCCATTAGGACTTGCAGCTTTCAATCAGGCAGATTATTTCTGATAGGAAGTGTCCTGGAATCCATCAGCACACACCAACACCTTGCAGAACTTCAATTAATACCCAGATTATAAATGTGGAGCCATCTCCCTCCACTTTTTCCAATGTCTTGAATCAAGAGGCAAAACAGCTCAAAGAGCTGTATTTGCATGGCAGTACCATGTGCTTTATCTCATCTTGTTCCCAACTTCCCAATTACCTTTTAAAGAAACTTTTTTTAATTAAGACTCCTTGGAAGAGGTAAGAAAATATGCATGACACTGAGTTACCAAAAACAGACCTAAAATGTTGTATAAAAAAAAACCACTCATCACCACAACAAATCTGGGATTGGTAGGGCAGATTTTGCCTTTCCCCCACTTCACTTCTGTGCAATAACTCAAGGGACATCAGGCATGGCATTATTGAAAATTAAGTGGCTCACAGAAAACAGTCTCAAACTTTCTGACCTCCAAAATACCTTAGAAGTTTTCTAACAGCACAAGCTTTTCATTAGCTACACTTTCACATTGTTTTGAAAGATGATGTCTAGTTTTCAAGCAAGGGAAAGCAGCAGAATTTATTCCATGCCATTAGATCACGATAAAAGAATAAATTTCTACCATATGCACCTTCAAACAGGGAATGTATTGATGAGTCAAAAAAAAGCTTTGTAGAAACTCTTTTTGAAAAATCTCCAAATCCTCACAGTGAACTAACTGGTATCTCCTTTTTTGTACTCTGGAAACAAAAGAATTCCTTTATCCTTTCAAAGTGATTTTCATTGCTAAAAGTTAGAAAAACCCACTCCTGACAGTAAGACAAAGGTTTTTCTCGGTCTCCTTTTTTCCTTTTAGACAGAAAGGACAACTGCAGCACCACCATAAAATTTATCTTCAGACAAAACTTCTCCTTGGAACTTGTTCCAAATCATTTTTGAACCCTCCCCAGACCAACAAATCCAGAGATTTCCTCAGGATGATGTTTCACCTAAGCATCTGTGACACTCTGCACAACAAAGCTCCTCAAATCCATTTATTTCCTTGCCCAAACTCATCCTTCCACCCTCAAACACCACCAGCTGCACAGGTAGATGCAGCCTCAGCTGGGGGCACAGCAGTGATCACATTCACTTTCTTCTCCATTTCCAAGTAGCCACTTCTGCTCAAGGGTCCCTCATTTAAAATTAGCGCTCTTAAAGGACAGGTGAACAAATAGATTTTGTATTTTTCAAAAAATTATGTATTATTTATGTATTTAATTCAGTCAGTATCCTGCAGATGTAACTCCTCACTAGTGAAGAAATTTACCTCAAGAAGGAATATGACTCCTAAGAGAAATCTGAAGTCAATGTTATTTGAAACGTTTTCTCTGGACACCAGCTAGTCCCAAAGCATTCCGCTAAAGCACCCTGCAACTGCAGCTCTTCCCTTTACAGTCTGTGGAAAACACCATTTCCCCCAGGAGGCCCTAGTGGGGATACCAGTCCCTGGGGTGAAGTTCACTGCAGCCCTGAGATATTTCTTGCCACCTTCCACCAGCAGTTTCTGGAGAACTTCTCAGACTGGCTGAAAGTGAACACTACACACAGTGAAGCACTGAGCAGTTTGGCTGAAGGCCACAATACCGAATCTTCCAAATTGTTCCTCTTTATTTATTTTATGCTCCTCCACTACCCCACAGTTCCACGTCCACTCCTTTTGCCAGTGCAGGTGTGTATCCCAGCCTTGCCTGTGGGCTGAGAGCCCTGGCAGGTCTGCAGAGCTCTCCTGAAAAGAGGCATCACTTGTGTCAGTCCCATTCTGCCTGGCAGGAAACCAACCTCAGCAGAATTCCCTCAATATTGGGATTAATACTGCATTAATAACCTGACCACAATCCAACACCCAACCTCCTGCATTGTTTCAAAACCTTTTATCTTTGTATTGGATAAGAGGTGCTCAAATTTAAAAATATTCAGTTAACATTTGCTGTAGATTCTCCTACTAGTGCGGAGCAGGGAACCACAACAAAACAGAATTTTTAATTATGGGAATTGAGAATCAAAAAACTCAGATCAACACTGAACTTCAGCTTTTCTGTTAACACACAGCAAACACTTTCCTGCAGCAGTGTTGTTTGGGTGAACAACTGGAATACAAAAATCAAAATTAATTAAATGAATACACAAAAGGTAGTGAGGGTGACCTTCATTTGTCACAGAATTACATTATTTGGTAAAGTTAAGGGGAACTTAAAACATCCCACAACCAAATCCACACAACTGCAAACACTACTTAGCTGTGACTGCAACTACTACACAGAGATAATGCTGAATTTAGGCTCAGCTGAACAGGAACCAAAGATCTTCCCTGAAACTCTTCCCCAGGATCCTCCCTTACAAATTCCTCAGCCTCTCTGCAACAACTCAACTGCCAACAGCAAAAGTAAGACACCAAAGCAGAAGAACGTGGGGGAAAGTTACACAACTGTCAACCTTTTTTCCTTTTGGTTCACTTGTTTCATTCTTAGATGTATAACTTTTTATGAGAATAATCATTAAATGCAGGTCTCATGAATAATGAACAGGAGAGAGCAGAACCTCAGCCAGAAGGGAGGACACTCAGCTTTGACTCATCTGCACTTCCGCCAGACAGTTCCACAGACTTATTTTATTAAGAGACAGAAGATCCTTTCTCAGTCTCAATGCCAAGTTCCTCCTGAAGTCCTGTTACATGCAAAGAAAATCTAAAATGACAACTATGAGACTAATGACAAATACTCACCACCATATTGTAGGCATCAGGAACTTCAGTTTCAAACTGAAACTTTCCCCCTTGGTAATAGCCCTCATCTAGAAAAGGGAAAACAAGGCAAATAGTTAAAAAAGAGAAAAGCACCGAGACTAAAACAACAGCACAGGGTTATCATCAAACACTTCAGCTGACTGCACCACCAGCTGCCACCTAATCCAAGGAGTGCAAGAGCACCGTGTCCTCCTGCACTCCCAGCATTTCTACAGCAGAAATTTGAAGTCAGAAGAGCCAAAAGTCCCAGAAAAATCCACCATCCTGATCACAGGAACAGGGACACCCAGCTAGAGGAACCATGCACTGAACTTCTCATTGTAGGAAGCAAATCCAGGCACGTGGCAGGCAGCACCACATCAGTGACCCTTGGAATGAGCCGGAGAAATCCTGCCCTTGCTAGATGCTGCTCCAGGACTGAGCAGATCTTCCCAAACTTGTGCTGGTTAGTAGTATGAATGATGTGTGCCAAGGGCATGTTTCAGAGTGTACTTCAAAAAGAGCAAGCAGGCTTTTTCTTGCAATTATCTTACTGTGATGTATCTGCTAGGAACACATCTGCCTCTCTGCCAACCTCTGTACTGATATTAAAATGGCTAAATTTTCAAATATGACATATTAAAATACCTACTTGCATTTAAGCAGGGCTAATAGAATGGGATGACAGCTTGCAACTCTTATAATAGCTTGCTTGGAAGCTGAAATGCTTACCAGTGATCTGATATGCACCTGGCATTGCCATTACTGAGGTCTTTTGTGAAAAAAAAAAAAAAAAAAAAAAAAAAAAAAAAAAA